AAATAAAATACCCTCAATTCAGGGTATTGAATCAGGCCAATTTTAATTTTGTTTTGAACTGCTTCTTTGAAGTAGTGGAACATTTCCACACAAGTCTTATGAGGAGTAGCTAAGAGAACTGGGCTTGTTCAGTCTGGAGAAGAGGAGGTTCAGGGGAGAACTTATTGCTCTGTACAACCGCCTGAAAGGAAGTTGTGGGGAGCTGGGCATAGACCAGGGAGGTGGTGGAGTCACCATCCCTGGGGGTGTTGAAGGAAAAGTTGGATCTGGTGCTTAGGAACATGGTCTAGTGGGTGATATTGGTGGTATGGGGATGGTTGGATCAGATGATCTTGGAGGTCTTTTCCAACCCTAACGATTCTATGGTTCTATGATTTCAAACAATAACAAAAATATTAAGAAAGTTTCACGCAGATTAAAAAAAAAACTTTTCTGCTTAGTTTCAGAAGCTGTCTGTGTTATTCCATGCCAGCCCATGGAGACATTGATGAGCAGTCCTTTATGTTTCTTGCTTATTGATCAAAAGTCTCAAAGCATTGAGTGACTTGAGGATCTGAAATCTCACCTCCAAAAGTCATTCAAACATTTCATTTCTTATATCCTGCTGTCATTTACTGAGACTTGATCACCATAATCTCTTTGGAGAATGAGGTTGAAATGATTTATTTAAAGTTAGACTTCATTCCCTAATTAGGAATAGTAATATATTCAGTTTTTCTATAGAGATGATTTTTCACTCTGTAGATTGCTATTGCTGTTTCCTATGCTGATATTTATGGTGTGGATATTAACTTACTTCCTTCTTTCCCTGTCATTCTTTTCTTGTTCAGTTCTGCAAAAAAGCCATGATTTTAGATCCAGGACCCCTGACAATCAATTCTGTGATGGGTCTGCCTCCAAAAGGTATGAGATTCAGATAATACCAGCAGGATTTAGGTATTTATGTCAAGGTAAAGCTTATTTCAGAGGGGCTGAAATCATTGCAAATTGCATTTTTTTAGGATTTCTGTATTCTTGCTTGTGATCCCTTGTGAATACAAGTCACGCAAACATACAATGGAAAGAAATTACATGAAGTAAACAGTGAAGGAGATGTGTTACTGAACTCCTGGGACCCCTGGAGCCTGGTGTCCAGAACACTATGTCTCTGCTGTCTCAGATGAGTTGGCAGAGGCACAGCTCAGCACCACGGAACAGCTGCAGCTTTCCATAGAGTCACGTCCTGGGGATTTGAGTTGTCTTTGTGTCTCCATCCCTTCCCTGCCTGCTGTATTACTAAGTGCTGCCCCCACATCTCCTCTCCTCTCCTTAACATGGACACTTCTCCCTCAGATATGACTGTAGCCTATGTTCTGAGACAGACCCACATCACTCTTTTCTTGTAGCTTCCTTTTTTTTTTTTTCCTTTCAGCCTAGTGCAGCACTTGGTTCCCCTTCAGCCTCTCTCACTTCTTCAGCCTCTCTCACTTTTCTCATCATATTCTTTACTATTCTGCAGTTCAGATCAGTCTGTCACACTGTCACATTTTCTTAGGTTACACTGTATTGTTTTCCTCATCTTCTCGTTTTTCTTTAGCTTCTTCTTTTTGCTGGCAGTGCCCAGCTCCCATTCCTCTGAATAATTCCAAATGCAGAAAGGTGAGAGGGCTCATGCAGTCTTACAGAAACCTCCTAGAGCGTCTAGCAGGAATTGATGCTGTGATGACACACTATGGTGCTATCCTCCCACTTGAAATAAATATTGGGTGATGATGAGGATAAGTTCTTCCATACAGCTTATAGAAACTATCCTAACCTTTATTTTTTTTTATGGTTTTTTTTTTTTTTTTTTTTTTTTTTTTCTGAATTTTGCAAGAAACTGTTACTTCAGGACTGACTGTTCCAAAATCATGAGAGCCAGTTTTGCTCCTTGTTTGATGACAATTAATACTAGAGCACTGTACCCTATATATTACTACCCTGTATGTTATGTAAGAGAAGTAATGGAAATTGTTTTGAATGAGAAATGCATCAGATCTGTGAGTGGAGCATCACATGTAGCCAGTCAAGACTGAGGTGCTCTGCCAAAACTTGTGTTTGACTCTGAAGTGAATCAGATCCATCTGAGAAGAAATTCTATTTAGTAAGTAAAAAGAATGGTGTATTGTGAGGTTAGATTGAAGGGTTTAATAATAGAACAGCAGAGAAGTGGCAATATTCAGTATTAGAAATGACAGTGCTGAGGGGAAAATAAAGTGGTATCCTTACCTAATTTATGTATATATAGTAAATAATTATATTAAATATAGAATGTATGTAATATATGTTCATTTTTTTCTCATAAGCAAATTACACCAACATAGCTGCTGTGCTCATTAGCAGTGATATGACCGGATGGGAAGGTAGAAACCGAATGGGAGGAATGAGAAGAACATCTACCTAATTTTTCTTTACAGAAATTTTTGTTTCTCAGCTTCTCTAAGAGTCTGAGACTGAACAAAGCCTCAGTGACACCACACTGATTTGCAGATGTCAGGTACCCCAGTCATATATGCTTTGTGGTAATCTTTTAGAAGTGTATGGCTTGGCTCAAAGGCACATTTCACAGCTTCTTGTTCTCAGTTACTCACATGATAAGACTGTGACTTCAAAGGGACATCTAAAGGAAATGTTTGGAGAAAAAAAGAGAAAGAATGTCTATTGTGTTGTGTCACCCCCCACCTTATTTTATTTTATTTTTTTCCAGTTCATGATATAACAGGCTTAGGATACTTTGGTATAGCTGCTTCTCAGTAGGTTATTTTTTCCTTCTTACTTGACAAAGAACACACACACAAAATTGACAGTCAGGGAGAAAACTGTGTGATCCTAATCCACAGGCAGTCATCTTAAAGTGGCTTGTCAAAGTGCAGGCAGGTGACTTTCATAGTATAAGCAGGCTCCTTGGGACAAGCTGGAATGATGTCCAAGGTAGTGACTCTCAGGCTTTTTCACATCAGGACTCATAAAGTAAATAAAGTCTCTGAGAGTTGTTGGTGTCTTTCCAGTCTTTAGGCAACATCTCAGAGATGATGTTTCCTCCTATTTCTAGGTGCAAATGATGTTCAGTTCTAATTCAGTCAATTTCAAAATTTTCAAGTTGTTATCCGTAATACCAATGTCCTTCACTTAAATGAAGTCCTAAATGGCTTTCAGCTTTCATGAAATATCTCGAATATATATATATATAAATATAATATATATATATATATATTTTTTTTTTTTTTTTTTTTTTGGGGGGGGGAGAGATAGGGGAAGGGGAAGACAGACAATATAAAAAACATACATACATTAGGATTAGATTTTTTATATATTTTTAATGAGTTTGGGATCTTTGTGTTTTAGTCTGAGAAATACCATACAATGATATTGAATGGTTGATACACAGAATGACACTGAATGGTTAAAACACAGACACTTTTGTTTGTAAGGAGAGGTAATAGAGAGGTTTACAGTCAGGTTAATGTTTAACCTCCAAGGCTTTCTAATGCTATGGTTAGAAAATGCCCTTTAAATTTAATTATCTGCTTCTTTACATTTACTATTTCACAAATGAACATTTTAAAATGTCAGTCATCTCTCTTTACAGACGTCTATAATAATTTTGTATCCACTCATAATGATGCTGGTCATCCTAAGTAAATGCCACTTAGCCCACCATGCCATTGACAGCATCATTTATTCTCTTCTTAATTGTCTGAGGTTTGCATAATTCAGACCATGTAATTCAAAGTATGCTTTCTTCTTTACCTCTCTACACATTATAAACAATTCAAATCTTAGCAGATTGTGATTTTTCATCTAAATGATGACCATTTTAATAAGCCAAGTAGTAAAACTCTTGGTAGCTATTTTATATTGTCCTGAGAAAATAATTATTCCAGAAAAAGATCTAAAGTAAAAGTTGATTCTATGCAGTTATTAATGTTTTGACAAATAGAAAAGAAATCTCCGGAAGTAACTTAGTTTGGATTCTGCATAAGATACAATATATTATCTGAATACCTCATCTTAATACCAGCTTAATAACCTGTTGCCAGTACATTTTCTATATTGTCATATCAGTTTCTTAGATATTTGGAAGAACATATAACATTATTATTATTACTATCATCATCATTATTGTTACTGTTGTTGTTGTTATTATTATTCCATGGGGGATTTTGTGAGGGTCTGCTGTTTCTGAAAACAGGTGCAACAGAAACATGAAAATGGCATTGGCTTGACTGTGTGATAAGGTTGGTCCTTACAGGAATAGATGGCAAGGAAATATTTATCAACACAGTATCCAATATTTATCAAAATGGTGTCCAACTTCCTGCTTCATGTTACCAGCTTACAGTCCATGCTGACTGTCATCATTAGTTAGGTGATCAATGGAGAATGACAGCACAACTAGGTAAAAAAAATGCATGTCTTCCTAATTCTCATACTCCTGCATGAGATGATTCCTGGGGGCCTGGGAACCCTCTGCTGAGATGGAAAGGAAAGAAAGACTGGTACCATGGCTGCTTTATTTGCTCCAATGGTCTTGCTTATGTTTCTAAGACTTCACACAAGAGATGTCTCATTTATTCACAGAAGTTGGAAACAGGCAAAGGACAAAAAAGGTAAGGGATGTGGAAAAATACAGCACAATTCCTTACTTACACATTACAAAGAACTGCATTAATTCTCTCTTTTATTACCTTCATGGTAGGTATTACAAATACATAATCCATTTAGATCAAAGATAGCATAGTTGTATTATATTACATGTGCAAATAAGGTCAAGCACCCAAAAGATGGCTTTCCCAAATAACACTATTATTCCTGGTAACAAGATAAATGTCTTTTCTAGCTACTCCTGTTGGGTCTTGTGATTTACTTTATTTATGCCCCATACTTTTACACAATCTGTTTATAATGAAACATGGCAACACAGTTTGTGATTATTTTCAACTACTGATTTGGCAAAAAGACAAAGAGAACTGAACTCTTACATTTTTCCTGGGAAAATCTCTCCTTGCTGCCTTATAGTCTTCACAGGTGAAGGTGGTTTGATGCTCTACATCAATGGCTCAGTGCTCCAGACAGTGAGAAACTGATGCAATTTGACCTGAACTAAACAGAACCAATATGCTTTAAATTCCTGTATAAATACACATGGACTTCAAACTCAAATAGAAGTTTGAGTTTGAGGCATTCCATTGAATTTTTTATGTCCCTGTTGCCCACAGATTGAGATACCTTCTGTTCTTTCAATACTGGGAACGAGGATGATTTCTGAGAACAAGTAAATAGCAATCCAACGTATTCTGATACAAAGAGTGTATTGGTATTTGGCTAGGAATAACGGCAACATAGTAAAAGGAGGAAAAGTTCATGGCTTTCATACTAATGTTTGTTTTTCATAGTTATGTTTTGCAGTCTCCTGTGGTCAGAAAGTGGTTTAATCTGCCCGTGTTTGCTATTGTTAGTATAAAAGTCAAGCTTATAAAGTAAATGTGGATGGGTGAGCCAAAAGCTTTTATTTTACAAGGACATCTACAGGAAGTGATGAGGTGTTTCAGATTTTACTTTCTGCAAATGAAGCTCAGAAAGCAATGTTTGGGGCTTATAATCAAGCTGACACAGGTATTGATGATAAGGAATAACAAGAAGCTTAGTGCTTCATTTTAGATAAACCGTTCATATTTAGGATATGCACATATGACTGTCTTAAGCCAATGAACTCAAGAGCGCTCACGGCAATGTGTCATTTCTTGTTCCTGAACAGCCAAGACATGCTGTTTGGGGCTTCACCTCTTTCATCCCCTTGGGGCCCAAGAAAGGCAAGTAGAAAGTCTCCTGGGAGAAAAAACAGATGAAAGTTTTCTTTCATATAGAACATAAAAGAAAACTTGAATGAGAGATTGTTGTGAATAAGCTATGCTTGTCTCCCCCTGTCCAGGCAGTTTAAAATCAGGACTGAGGTTTAAAAAGTGTTTTGAATGTTTGTGAGTATATTTCTAAATGCTTTTGTCAGCTATGAAAGAATCATCCCACATGATTTGGCCTCACCACTTTGAGTGGGTAACAGTGTTCTGACTCTGATAGGTCTGTTTCCTTCAGAGTGAGACATTGGTGATACAAGGCAAGTGCTTGCAGGTGAAATTTCCTTATTTATAGAAACCCTTTCTGTCTCCCTCACCAGGGCCAACAGGATCACTAACAAAGTCTGTTTCTGGCAGGCACCCTGCAGGGATATCTGTGGCCCAGAAGCTCTCTTGGTTTCCATGAAAATCACCCAAAAATGAACATCCATCTCCACCCAGGCACAGCCTTTCCTTGCCAGCTCAGTTCTTGAGACTGCAGTTAAGTACATCTCTCAGAATGTGGATTTACCCCTGTGTACTTTGCAACAGGAAGCCTTGGGGAAGGACCTCATTAACCAGATAGGCTCCTGTGTTCCATTCATTGAACTTCAAAGATTGGGTCTCATCCCTCCTGACATTAACATGGTTTGTCATTATCTTTGGGGCCAATGGGCACCTTCTGTCCTGTGGCTTTCTTTAGTACTTGCTAGCTTCTAATGCCTTAATTTGAACCAAGCATGGTATGATGAGCTACTGTGCAATTTCACTGAATTTATGAGTGAATTTCAGCTGGGATTGTCTCTTGTGCAGCTGGGCAGTGCCTTGCACAGCAAGTTCCTTACACTGTCTGAAGTCTCTTGCTATTACTGAAGTAACAATTAGAGAATAATAGTGTTCATAACTTGTAAGTCATAGCAAAGGTATACAAAGAGATGTAACCTACAAAAGAGTTTCATATGTACTTGTCTCAAACTACAAGTTTAATTATAGTTCTTAAAAACATCCATGACTTGTCTATTCAGAAGATACCCATGTGCCTGTTCCTCTCATAAGACACATGTAGAAAATCTGTGAACAAAGAGCAAATGCATCCTGATGTTAGAGATCTCTGGCATATATTTTTTTTGTTTGTTTGTGCTGTTGTTATTGTCATTGTTATTATTATTTATTTATTTATTTATTTTTCCCCACGTGGTGGGAAGATTCTTTCCTTCCTTCCTTCCTTCCTTCCTTCCTTCCTTCCTTCCTTCCTTCCTTCCTTCCTTCCTTCCTTCCTTCCTTCCTTCCTTCCTTCCTTCCTTCCTTCCTTCCTTCCTTCCTTCCTTCCTTCCTTCCTTCCTTCCTCTTACAGCCTTGTCATTTTTTTTCTTATTCTATTTTCTTGGCTATCTCCTCTTATCCATTTTTTTATTCAAAGACCTGCTATAACATCAATAGTGGCCATAGCTGCCCCAGAAAATACAAAAGGTGGTTACAGATAACAGCTATTAAAACAAATATTTTTCCTGCTTTCTTAAGAAGAACCTTTACAGCCAAAGATAGAAAATCAAAACCCCACAATTCCTGAAAAGTATGATCTGTCTATCTGTGCATGTGTTTGTATGGAATGCAAATTTATATTCTGCTGTAGTTTTATAATTTTATAATTCCTTTTTGTCCTCTACTGATATATTTATTGATATAGTTTATCTGTGATGCATTGTTTTACTGTTTATATGTCTTCTTGTCATAATGAACAGAAGGGGATTTGGACAGAATTGTGAATATTAGACAAAGGATAACAAATCCAATGTATTCCAAATTATACTGGCTAATTAACAATAACCAGTGTTTCCATCAGAAAGTGCACACTTGTTGAGTGTGAAGCATCTCTGATGTCTGTTTCTCTGTATTGTTTATTTTTGAGATTCAGAGAATTAATCTGAGTCCTGTCTGTACCTAACAAAGCTCTCTTCATGAAAAAAAATACACAGTATTTGCTTGCATTAGATTCACCTAATCTAATCTGCAAACATGCTATTTTTGTACAAGTTTGTATTCTTAAGAATGAGTTAAATATCAGGGTGATTATGAAAACAGCAGCTGACAGGAGAATACTACAGAAGTTTTGTGAAGTGAGTTGTGAATTTCTGCACATCAACATTGGCAATGAAAGCCTGCCTTGGAGAGTGCTGAGAGTAGGGGTCTACTGTATAGGCTACATTACTCATCCAAACACCAGTTTCAGAGTCTGAAGTCCCATGGTATATTGCCCTGAAAAAATCAATAAGTCAAAACCGCTGCGCATGCCAATAGCAAAACTTCTGTTGCTCTTGGTATGTTCAGGATTTTTCTACCAAAAAATAAACAAACGGACAAAGCAGAATCGGTATCTGTGGATAAGTTCGGGGTCATTGTTTTATTGGATCCAGAATTATATTCCTGTGTTCCTTACTGTAAACTACCCTGGGATCATGTTTTCTGTTCATCACTTAGTTAGGGGAAAAGTCTTTCTCTAGTACACTCTTTGTAACATTCATAGTGTTGAACCAAGCGCTTCCTGCTTCCGAAAGATAGCACTCCCCTTTCTCACCTTAGCATAAGGTCATACAAAACTACTGAGGGCCGTGACTGTTGTCAAGAAGTTGTCAGACATAAGTTCAGGCAAAACAAAACTGCAAAGCAGAAGGCTGGGTTGAGGGTTGAGGCTCAATGTGCTCCAGGGTATCCCAGAGCTGTAGATGCAGTCTACTTTGTAGGCTTCTTTTTTTCAAGGGTATTTACTGGACAATGCTTGCCCACTTTTAAGCACCTGTTGCAGATCACCTGGCTGGCAATTGCAGTTTGTTTATGGTCAAATGGATCTCTAAGTATATAATCATTTTAAGTCATAAAGCAACGTAGAATCCTTAGCTGATAAAAGCATTTTGTGAATGACAGAGGATAGCAAAAACACCATAACAAAGGACATAATAATAACAAGAACAGACGTGATAAGCAGCAGAACAACTAAGGAATAAAATTCCATCTTTGTAATTCACCTGTTCTATGGAGAAGACAGGGAGAACAGACGTGCTTTTATAAATTGGGAATTAAAACTGAGGAATTAGCTGCAAGGATCAGAGCTACTGGAATTAAATAGAAATTTCTCATTTACTGCAAACAGAAGTGAGAAAAATTGCATAACTACCATGGGTAAATGTTTCTCTGAATTAAAATAAATAAATAAATAAATACTGAGTGAATTGGACAAAAGAACAAATAAATAACAGGAAAATATTCTGAACTCCCTCACCTCCCTCCTCCCCCTCCCCCCCCCCCAAAAAAAAAAAAGGAGAAATAATATTCCCTGTAGTAGAAACAGATTCTGACTTTTCTTGTGTTCCTTTATGCTACCCCTGTGGTGTAAAGTAATGGAAAAGCTGCCAGGCAACTAAATATTCTTTCCCTGCTGGAAAATCTCTGGGTGGCATAGACCTGATGTTTAAAAAAAACACTTAAAAATATGAATAACTTCAAGATACCACAGGTGGCCACTTCTAATAGTTTAACACAAAGGGCACTAATTAAAGTCCTCTCTGTGTAAAAGGAAAGACACAAGGCAGTGGTATATATGTTTTACTCAAAATAAATGGAGACTACAGGAAATTTCTAAGACACTTGATGGATTGGAGATTGGGTCTTACACTTCAGTCACTGAACCCATACAAAGCAGCAGAGGTAATGTAATATTCCCAGGGGCAGCTGTGCTTTGCTCTGCATCTAGCAGAGATGTCTAGTCCAAAAATGTTTTTGTCCTGTGGGAGATGCATCTTAGAAAGTAATTTGAGAGCAAGCCATAGGTAGGTTAAAATCAGGAATGGAGGATATACCATTTGATATCCTGAAGAGCACAGCACATGAGGGAATGTTAAGGGGCTTGTTCAGCATAGAGGAGAGATGGCTTTAGGGTAACCTGATAGAAGCCTGCCAGTACCTACAGGAAAGTTACTGAAAAGATGGGGCCAGACTTTTTACAGTGGTGCATGGTGGGATAATGAGAAATTGGGATAAGGTTTTAATGGGATTTAAGGAGAAATTCTTTCATCATGAGGACAGTAAAGCAGTGTACCAAGTTGCCTTGAGATGTACAGCCTAATCTCTGGAGTTTTTCAAGCTTAAATGGGTAAAATCCTGAGCATCCTGGGCTGAGTGTGTCACTGACTTTGCTTTGAGCAGGAAGTAGGAAGTGGAGATCTCTAGATGCTTCTTCCACCTGAATTATTGCCTCTGTAGTTATGTGATTCT